ATCAGATAGACAATGTTTTATATTTTAATATGTTATAAATAAATAACTGCATTTGTGAAACAAAAAGGGGGGAAAACGTGTTCATTGTAGTTCTTAACAGACACAGTTTGGACATACGATTTTTCAAAGTTCAGTTGCGTTTCTTGCTTTCTCTTTTTAGTGCAGATTGTATTTAAAATGAAATATTACATTGCCCTTCCATTCTACCTCATTTGTAACTTAAAGAAAATTCTTCAAGTTATGTAGCCCCATCGACTTTAGTACAATACAAATAACCAACCTTTAGCACATGCTGCTAGGCTGTGTTTGTGTTGTGTGCCTCCCCCCCCCAACTGAACACATGCCTTTGCCTTTTATAGAACCAAAGGGTTGCAGGTTTTATTTCTGAGCAAATAAGCATAATATTGGGATGTTAGGAAAATCATGTTCTCTTAGGTCTGAAAAAGAGGAACATGAGAAAAGTGTCCCTGGGTATGACCAGCCAAAGTTCAGACAAATAGTAGGTCAAGCATCTAGGCAATCTTACCTTTTCCTTGCCACTGCTACCCATTTTCTGGAAGTACCCTCTGTGAAGGCAAGCATGCTCTGGTTTTTAATTTTCACGGAAAGAAGGTACTTATGCTCTACTCTCAGCCAAAACAACTTCATTACCCCTCCCCCTCTTGAACTCTGAAATTTCTTTCTCAGAAAATATAAGGAGGGCAGGTGCTTTTAACTTCCTGTAAAAACAGGCCACAGAATGACTCAGAAGCATGTTCAAACTCAGGAATGTGAGCGTGCAACCAAAATCACCCCAATCATCTCATTATTTGGGTTACACAGAGCGCTGATGAACTCTAGTACAGAGCATACAGCTCATGTCACTTCAGTTCCTTCCCTCTCTCGCCCATCAACAAATCAGCTGTAAAAATGTTCATTTTTAGCATTTCCTTCTTAGTTGTTTTGGGTTTGGGTGCGCTAGCATCTTTCCTTTAAAATAAAGTATTGCCTTTCCCTCCTTAGTTCTGGGGCCTGGCACTAACTGGGAAGAAGCAGCTGCAAATAGAATACATGAATTAGCATGATAATAGGTAAACTTCCACTACCAGCATTGGGTTTCTACCTGAAAGAGCCCAACACTGGTCAGCGCCAATTCTTGCTAAAACATGTATATGCTAGCTGCTACTGCTATCACTGACCCTTCTGACCAGAGATGCACACACAGTTTACAATGGGGGTGGGCTTTCAGTCCTCCACTTGCATGCCCAAATGCCATACTACAGATTTGGATGGAGGATTTACTAGTGGCCCAAACTCACAGCCAGCAGAGAAACCTTTTGTTCTCTGGATACTCTGAAATGGCTTCAAGTATTCATCCTCTTCGCTCTCCCCACCTTTTCTACTGGAGCTCCTGTTTCAGACACTCTTGAGCTAATAGGAAGCCTGGAGCACTCCATTGTCCTACCTCCACCCCCCTCTTAAGACACGTTCTCAAAGTTATCCTCTCCTCCACAGAGCCTAATCTCTAGAAAGCCAGGCAGAAGTCAACCAGCTAATAAAATATGTAAATAAATGCTTTCTTAACTACGAGGAACACTAATAAAAAATGCTCAATATAGAAATAAGTTGCCCGTGGCCCCACAACACCAACAGCTTACTTTAGGAGGAGGAGAAAATCACTTCCAAGTAATAACAGCTTGAAGAAAAGCTCAAACACCTTTTCTACAAATCCTGGGGAGGAAAGCAAGAAATTGGGAGTGTCATTTCCCTGGCAGGAACACCGAAAAAGAGCTCAAAACAGAATGTCAGGGCTTCTTGCTAGCGATAATGCTATTGACAAATTGCTCCAAGAAAAAACAAATTACTGCAAACAGCATCAGTTGTGTAAAACTTACCAGATCATGCAGAGGGTCTGCGAAACAAGAAAAGAAAGAGCGAGGTGATGGGTGGTTCTTCCCCCTTTGTATGCAGTTCATTGTCTGTCTGAATAGAAATGACAAGCTCACTCTTAATTCATTAGGAGAGTCCTGCAGGGTGAAGTAGTGACTGATCACTACCATGGAGTTCAAACACAAGTACCAGGAGCAATTGCCACCTCCTACGCTTTTGTTTCCTGTACAACAAATTATTTGACAGGTACTCCAACTGATGCCATGACCAAAAATGTTGCTCAAACAGGAAAAACTTGATTATTGAATACTATGCCAGGCAAAAGCTTGCTGTCTTAACAACCTGCTACTGCTTTGGGTAGGCATAGTACTGGAAAGGTTGAACCACAATGACCTAGGCAGACTTAATACGAATCTGAAAGCTGGCAGCAAATTCTGTCACTAAAATGCATATTTGAGGAATTGTTTATTCCAGGGATGGACCTATGGCTCTTCAGATGTGGCTGAACTCCCAGCTCCCATCAGACCCAGCCAGTGGCCAGGGACGATGGGATTTCCATTCCAAAAACATCTGGAAAGCCACAGGTTCCTTGCTTTAGACATTGGCATATGCTTTTGTTGTAGCTGTTTGGCATGCAAACAATGAGCAACAGAAGAATAAGATGGCAATCGGGTCTTTTCCTCAATGCCGAGAGCCTGGCATTGAGGCAAAACCTCCTACTCTTGGTTTTCTCATGCCTGCTTCCTTGAGAAGCATAACTGAGCCATGACTGTGGGTTGTCTTCAACTAAGTCCTACTCAGAGTAGACCCACTGAAGTTAATCTACCAAAGTTAGCCATGTCTATTACCTTCTCTGACTTCTGGCTTTGCTGGCTGGGGTTGATGGAAGTCTGCAATATCAAAGCTCCTCAGGCCCGCTTAAACAACCAGCCTCATTAAAGAAATTGTACATTTCTCCAGAGATGGCCACCTGCCATATTGATGTAAGTGCCTAAAAGATATCAGAACATACTACAAATCTGCTCTACTTCTCAGTGGGGAGGAGTTGTGGTGGACCACATGGCCACCCACTCCCCTCCGGGGGCAGGGGACAAAGTCCTGCATCCCCCGGAGGTTCCCAGCCAAATCATTCGCCTGCCAGCAAATCCGCTGGCTGGGGGCGGGGGCCTGGCCGGGCCCCATTTAAACTGGGGCGTGAGCTGGAGAGCTTCCTCTTGGCTCACTTCCTTGATCCTCTGCCCTCCCTATTTTCAGGTTTCGAATTTGGCCTTGCTATGGACCTTGGTTGGTTGCCATTGAGGGGCGTGGAAGGAATTTTCCCACTTGGCAAATTGGCTTGGGCCATTTGGTTTTCACCTACCTCGTAGCAATCATCACAACTTTGTAAGGTTTGGCGGTTAGGCATTGATTGATCTTATGATGGGGGAGGGGAGGTGTGGCCATCACCTGCCCCTCCAAGCTTAAGGGTATTCTGTTAAAGGAATCTGGGGGTGTGGATCTTTTCTGAAGTCCAGGGCTGAGCTAGGGCCATGCCACGAACCCATCAGGAACCCAGAGGGAGCTCAAATTGGTTTGCATCTACAGGGCTTCCCCTACCGGTGGTTGATCCTTACAGGACTCCCTGTGTGATGGGCAGGAGTCAGATATAGTCTGGTCAATTCCAGTGTCTAAGCCAATACCACTCACGTTCTGTAACCAATAAAGTTGTGACCTAAATTTGCCCAATAACATTAACCTAATATCTGTGTCCTTGTGTCTTATTCATCAACGAGAGGGTGGTCTCGGGTCTCGACACGCAAACAGCTGATTTCCATCCCAAAAATAAACCAGCTAGTAGTAACCTCAGCAATCATCCTGTGAACCACATCCAGTCATTCATCTCCAAATAGCAAGTTCACTGTTGATCATTCAGTGTCTACATCATGATCACTTTGCAAACACCCACATTTTATGTCCTCTCCAGCTCGATAGATTGCAGTTTGCACATTCAGCTGAACGTTGCTTAACTGTATGCTTTTAACAGACCACTCCAATGGAAACCGCTCCTGCTCCACTCGTGTTCTCAAAATAACAAAAGATTCAATGCATTTCTTTTCCTCCATCTTTTAAGGAGACTATTCTGCCCCAAACTACTAACAGCAACAGTAGCATTGATGCTCTTTTTTATTATTATTTCACTAATAACTTTGTTAAGTCCTAACTATTAGCAGTTTGGATGCAAATGTATATTCAAGAAAGCAGTGTGCAGTAAACCAAACTTAAGATCTTGGAGATGGCCCCTAAAAATCAATGAAATATTTAGTAGGTATGTGAAATTCCCTTGCATTCCATTGTACAGAAATGGGTGGGAATTTGATTTTACTGTTCCACAGTTTCTGTACCCTATAGCCAGATCCTGTGTTTCTGATTTAAATCAATCAGCACAGCCAGCTTTTATCAAGCGGGATTACGTTTTCAAGTGTTTCTGCTTTTGCAGACGTCAGGTAAAGCCTTTTGAAATATTTTTCAGTGTGGATGTTTAAAGGATTGTACAGCTTGACTGACAGAGGATATGAAAAAGAAGGTAATTATCTCAGGAGCATACTGGGCTGTATCTCCTTTGCTATTCTTGTTCGACAAGGTGCTAGCTGTGGATCAGGTGCAATGCTCGCTCTTGGAATTTGCAGGAAAGGCTAAATACGTAGCAGAAACTGTAGAATTCCCCCCTGCCTGCAAATAGTGAAGGCTAAACTTGGAAGACCTTTGCACAAAGCTGTTAAATGCTTTTTTGTGCCCTTAAATGCAGATGTGAGAGGTCTCTGATGCTCAGCCTGCTATTTGATCTCCTACCTTCAGCTATTCAAGAGAAGGGACTTTTGACAATATGACATTCGACAGCAGCCCACCCAACTCATTTTAGCGTGGTTTTCTGAGCTCCTTTTTTTAGAAGCCAGAGAAAGAGGCCCCAGAACAAAGTGTGGGGTCAGTCTGCAAAAATCAGTTGCCCTGACTTGCTTTAGCAAAAGCACAATTGGATACAACTCAAAGAGATTTAAAGTGTGTTGATTTTGCATTAGTCATTTGTGCTTTTATGCAGGTTCACGATCTCCATGTGCTTTTCCTTATACGTTGGATTAAAAATGAGACAAAACAAGCAAAAATTGCTTTTTTTATTATTTGGCTAATACAGCAGTATTTTGTCACTTGCCTGCAGTCTCAATCAGGGTGAATCATTCCTGTGATGCTGGAAAATTATGGAATGCAGTGTGACAGGTTTCAATTCTCCAATGATATTTGAGTGCCCTGGTGCTGGTTGCAAGGCTTTCATTTTTTATGGAAAGGGAGCGCTCGTTTTGCAAAGAGAAACGTTCCAAGTGTCTGTAGAGAGAAAGGAAGAGACAGGCTTTTGCTGTTTATAATGCCTAAAGGACCAAATACGCAAGAAACGACACACAATTAAACAAACCCTGCTTTAATGTTTCATGACATATTTTATTATGAAAGAACCCAGCAAAACTTTTCAACTTGAGTTACATTGAAGTTCTCAAGCAATGCAACAGACACAAACAATTCATTTTTCGAATTGTGATTTCCACAGAGGATTCTGGATGTGGCAGACAAGGCAGGGCTTGAATTATAGGGGCAGGGAAGCCCCCTTAGCTTTTACAACAGTCCCCTTTTAACTACTATTTTTAAAATGCTACAATTTGACTGTGGATTTCATTAATGGCCCTCCTAACTTCCCCCATAATTTTGATAGGGGAAGGCAGGTTTGTTTTATTTGTTTCAAACACATTGGAATTTTATTTTTAAAGATGCAATTATACACTAGTTCACAGCTGCGCTGACTTGCCTTGTGAAAACGCAAGCACAGCGATACCCATAGAGTTTCATGCAAAACAAAAGGGAGCAATTAAAAGTCAAGAATTAGCATCTGGTAATTTTATTTAAAGTTCCAAAGATGGCAATTTGACCAGGGCCCGAATGCCCACCATCAGCTCATTGGGCACACAGAAACACACCCTGCCTCCTAAAGCTTTGAAGGATACTGGAAATAGTTTTGTAATGTTGTGGAGGAATTTTGGCGGAGAGAAACACGCATGGCTTGTTAGCTTTAAGTAGCTGAGGTATGCGAAGTGAAGTTACTTAGCAGTAGTGCAAACTCAGGGGCTTATTGTTAGAAGCATTCCTGACAGAGATGGAAGAAACAACAACTCAGAAATCAGAGCAAATTGAAGTCACAAGATGTAGCACACAGCACTAGGCATGGGCGACGGAAGGGATGAGACAGGGATACGAAAGAATGTTATTACTGTGAGGTGATCTCTTACAAGACTTTACTTGCAATTACAGTGGTACCTCAGGTTAAGTATTTAATTCGTTCCTGAGGTCTGTTCTTAACCTGAAACTGTTCTTAACCTGAAGCACTACTTTAGCTAATGGGGCCTCCTGCTGCTGCCGCGCTGCCAGAGCACGATTTCTGTTCTCATCCTGAAGCAAAGTTCTTAACCTGAAGCACTATTTCTGGGTTAGCAGAGTCTGTAACCTGAAGCGTATGTAACCTGAGGTACCACTGTACAGATAGTTTAGAGGTCCTAGGGGCCAATTGTTTTTTGAAGAGGCCAGGCACCCTCAGTGTTCAGGGGGCTTTCCCCCCACCCTACAGTCTCTGCTGACCTTCATTCTGAGGAAACTGAATTCTGAGCCCCATAACAAGCCCACCTCAGATTGTAGGGAAGCTCAGAGTTTCAGTTGCCTTCTCAGACACACTCCCAGCCTAAGTCTGTGCTCAGCTGCAGGCTGAAGCCTTGTGCGCCACTGATTTGCATCCAGATGCATAATCTCGTTAAGACATTCAAAGCCCTCTAGTACATTTCCCAAACAAAATCAGGAAGGTGTGCATCATTAGGAAACAGTTTGCATAATATGTAAATTATGCAACACAGATCTACACTAACCCTATTCATATGCAAGTAAGAGTACAGTATGGGGCAGGGGAGACAATTCTGTTCTGGTGCCAAGCCTGCCTCACCTCTGCTCATACCAGCCTAGCAACCTCGCACTCCTCTGCACATTAGAACTGACATATCAGCTATGCCTACAAGCACAAAGTCCAATGTGCATAGGCCAAATCATATGCAATCTTGACCTGGCATAATTAGGGGGAAAGGACTGCAAGCTATTGAACCTACTCTTTCCACGGCACATCCTGCAAACCATTTCCTTGAACGTATGTATAGCTAGAAAGAATAATTGAATAGGAGCATAAGAAGCTGCCTTATATTGAGTCAGACCATTGGACCACTGAGCGCAGTATCGTTTGCAGTGGCCGCCAGCAGCCCTCCAGGATTGCAGGCAGAATTCTCTCCCAGCCAACAACTGAACCTGGGATCTTCTGCATGCATGACCCTTCCCCGTCATTTCTAGACAAACAAGTTTTGGTTTTTAAGTCCTTAATTTTAAAAACAAGAGCATTTTATTTTTCTGCTGCCTGCATTTAAATACTTTAAGATTTTGGAAATGGTACCCAAACCTTCGCCCAATATATGGCAGAGAACAGGTTTGCTGTGAGACAGAGCTGGCCCTACCATTAGGCAGAGGGAGGCAACTGCCTCAGGCAGCTGATTTGGAGTATCATGAAAGGGGAGCATATTGTTAGCTATGAAATTTACTGTTGCTGTATTTTTACAGTCAGGAAGGGATTGCACAAATCCTCGATTGTGAAATTTTCTGTCTCAGCCACCTTGGATACAAAACGGCAAGACTCGTGGGGAAGATTGAAGATCATTTGCTGCATCTGATATTCAGATCATATTGCTTAATGCTTAAAAGTAGTAAGGCTTCAAAGCTTTAATCAAGTGTGGTTTGAATGAAGGCCAAATTTTGAATGTACAAATAAAGCCACTGGACCCACATTTGTACATATTACGTTAACAATGTAAGCCATCTCCGTCCTTAGCTATCTGGAAGCATTTTGAAAAGAACAAGTGCCCGAGAATATATATTTGTTTTGTTCCCAACAAGGAAGACTAAAGTACTGCTTCTCAAACAGGAACTTTTCATGAGATAAGAAAAGTTATTTATACAAGTACATTATTCCTAGTGATGGCTGCTTCCCTGTTCCATCAGACTCAAGAGCCCATTGGACTTGAATGATTGAGATTCAATCATTCGGCAAAGTAGCAAGTTTGAAAATGACTGTCACTTTTCACTCTGTCTCTATTATAGCGCTCGCCTATTCCTGTTATCAACGTATCCAAAGCGAGTTATTAAAGTCTCTTTTCACTAGGAATTACCAGGGCTTCTGCCTGTTTATTAAACTGAACTCTCTAATCCCTCAGTCACTGAACATTTAGTCATAATTTGTTCTCACTTTGAGAGCTGCAGTACAATGTGATGTACTGTGGAATGAGAAAAGTAATCTTTTTTCGCCAGCTGCTATCCTTCTGTTTTCCCTCTTTGAATTTATGGATTGAGCTGTTTCCTACCAAATACCAAGGTAGATCAGGTCTACCTTGATGCAGGTTTAATCTGTAGGGGCACTTTGATTGACTGCTAATCTTCAGACAAAGCTAGTCCTGGCCCTGTGCTTACATATAAGCTCAAATTTCAAGGGCAGTTGAAAAAAGAAGAGTCACTGCCACACTAGATATTTATGTAATGATGTCCTTTAAAAATCCTAGTAAAGCTGCTGCCTCATAATACAGTTTTAAGTCCGGCAGGGCAAACCCCCCTCTTTCTTTAGCGTCTGTCAATATTTTGAATTTAATTCAGGGCAAAAAGCCCAGAATTAAATTCAAAATATTGACAGACGCTAAAGAAAGAGGGGGGTTTGCCCTGCCGGACTTAAAACTGTATTATGAGGCAGCAGCTTTTTGCTGGCTGAAGGAATGGATGCTCCTCGAGAACACAGACATCTTGGATCTGGAAGGTTTCAATAATGTTTTTGGTTGGCATGCATATTTATGGTATGACAAAACTAAGCAGCATAGTGCCTTTAAAAATCATATTGTTAGAAAAGCACTGTTTAATGTATGGATGAGATATAAAGATCTGTTGGAAAACAAAACCCCTAGATGGGTGTCGCCAGTCGAGGCTAAAGCAGTAAAGAAACTCAATATGGAGGTCGGATGGCCGAAGTATTGGGAAATTTTGGAACAGGATGGAGACAAGTGGAAATTACAAAGCTATGACAAATTGAAGGATAAAGTACAAAACTGGCTTCAATACTACCAAGTAATGGAGCTTTTCAAACAGGACAGGAAAATTGGCTTTCAAGTGGATAAATCAAAACTAGAAATTGAACTGTTAGAACCCAACACTAAGAATTTGTCAAGAATGTATAATTTGTTGCTGAAATGGAATACACAGGATGAAACGGTGAAATCAGCCATGATTAAATGGGCACAAGATATTGGTCATGACATTATGTTTGCCGACTGGGAACAGTTATGGACCACCGGTGTTAAGTTCACGGCATGTAATGCCTTAAGAGAAAACATAATGAAAATGATTTACAGGTGGTACATGACCCCAGTCAAGCTGGCAAAAATTTATCATTTGCCCGATAACAAATGTTGGAAGTGTAAAGAGACTGAAGGTACCTTCTACCACCTTTGGTGGACATGCCCGAAGATTAAGGCCTTCTGGGAAATGATCTATAATGAAATCAAAAAGGTACTTAAATGTACCTTCGCGAAAAAACCAGAGGCCTTTCTCTTGGGCATTGTCGGCCAATTGGTGACAAAGAGGGATAGAACTTTCTTTATGTATGCTACAACAGCAGCAAGAATACTCATCGCAAAGTATTGGAAGACCCAAGATCTACCCACTTTGGAAGAATGGCAGATGAAAGTGATGGACTATATGACATTGGCCGAGATGACAGGCAGAATCCGTGACCAACGAAAAGAGACGGTGGAAGAAGAATGGAGAAAATTTAAAAGTTATCTTAAGGACTACTATAAACTTAATGAATGCTAAAATGTTGCGGTTTTCAGAAATAAAGGGATACAGGGATATAAGGTTAGAAATTTAAAAAAGAACTAAGAAGATAGAGATTGGAAAATAACAATTGGGAGTTGCTGGTGGAACTTTGGACACTGGGATGCAGAGAGGGGGGGTATGGGGAAGTCAAAGGAAAGAAGTTTATGAAAATATGTTTGAAACTATACGTGTATGTTTGTCATTTTTGGTGTTTGTTTGTTTTTTGTTTAAAAAGTTTCTAAAACCAATAAAAATTTTATAAAAAAAAATAAAATAAAAATCCTAGTAAATGGCAGTTCTATAGTGCAGTAAGTCCAGAGTCTCTTGAGCAAAACAATTCTTTATAATTATTTCAACCCTTTGCAAATCAAATATTGAAAGAAAAAAAGAAA